GTGTGAGTGTGAGTGTGAGTGTGTGTGTGTGTGAGTGTGTGTGTGCGTGTGAGAGTTTGAGTGTGAGTGTGTGCGTGTGCGTGTGCGTGTGTGTGTGTGTCTGTGTGTGTGTGCAGCAAAACCTTTTCTGGTTTGGTGTACAACAATGATTTACATGAACAGTATAATTTTAAAAAATAACATACAAAAAGGACCATGTAAAAAAATAAACAAAAGACACAATCCTCTCAAAAACATGGAAATGGTTTAAAAAAGAGAGAATTTAATAAACCAATGAATTTAAAAGACAGAAACCTCTCGGCATATATTGCTGCTAAGGTTCAGATAAAGGTTGTTTTTTTCTGTGAAATGTGTTTGTGTCGTACTGAAATGAGTCAAATACATGCTTTAGAAGCTGCTGGTTAAGATTCCATACAAATCAATAATTCATCGCTGTTCAACAATCATATTGTCAAGGCACTAATAATGCTTGTTGCAAAACATCTGTGAAACACAAGATATAAAACTCAAAAAACAACAACAACAACAACAGAAGAACAAGGAAGAGTCCTGGGATACGGATGAAGTATGAGCACTTGGTGGTCCTCATTCCTGTGACTGTGGACAGACACACGTCTCTCTTTATTCCCTTTCGATCCGCTGATATTTCCAGAATCATGTTAATTGAGGTAGATCACAGGAGCAGATGAACACTCCTATGGATCAATCTGCAGACCGATCATGTCAGATACAGCAGGACGTTTACATCCAACGACCGGATTCACCTCCAAACACTGCATTAACGGCTTGGCATATGTGCTTGTTCAGTCAAGGCCTCAGTGGCAGTAAATGTGAACATGACATGATCGACGACGGTCGCAACTAAAGCTGAGCTCACTCTGGCTCGATCTAACCAACCAACGCGACACATTCTTTAAAACAGAAAACAATCCCAGTTCATGTCAAACACTGATGTCTGCGCTGATGCGGCTGGAACACATGAAAATCATCCTGTAAACGTTCCTCGTCAAACACAGACACCATAAAACACACCGCTCAATACTACTCTCACTGAGAACTCTGGCACAGCATCGACTGCTCTACACATTAAAGCAGCATTAATGTTTCCTCAGCTGCTACTTCTCAGTCACAATACATCTTAGATAACTGCATATGTCGCCATGCAGTGACGTTTCCTCTAATAAACACTCGTGGCTAAAATGTGCATTTGCAAAAACATGTTTGGAATTTTCCAAGCTCAGAAGGAAATGAATACATCGTTCCCCTTTAAAACAATCATACAAGTGACTTCATATAGTCTGACATAAAACAATTCATAGCTAGATTCTAAGAGTGAAGCAAACATAAGCTGGTTAAAATAAAATCCCATGCATCTTCTCTCAGGGCTTCACCAGCAAACATCTTCCCTTCTTATCCAATGATTGTCTAACCTTTCCCTTTTAAAGCCTAGAAACTCAGTACAAAAATATTCAAGGAAACGTTCTGAAAGATGCATAGCTCAAAAATCAAATTTGTGGAGAAGCCCTGTTTTATGCCTGTTCCGCATGTTCCTGCAGGGATTGAACACACACACACACACGTCAGTCTCTCCGCTGTAAACCTTCACGGCTCTCAGATGACGGACTCGGGGTCCTCAGCCTTCACCTCTCCGTCTGCACCGTCCCGCGCACCGCTCTTGCTCTCCAGCATCTTCTCGGTGGTGTCTGCCGCTGTCTGCGCCTCCTTCCTCTTCCTCCGCGCCTCCACCCACGGGATCAGACACAGCACGGCCCCCCCGATGATCGGAGGAATGCCTGCCAGGTAAAACGCCACATCATAGCTGCCCAAACGGTCTCTGAGGAACCCTGCGTACAGAAACGGACAGACAGGTCAACGAGGCCAAATTTACACCGCAAAGTGCCACAGAAGCGCTTCTGTCTTTTGCATTTGAAAGCTGTTCAGAAGTGGCATAAATGCATTTCCACAGCAATTACAACCGTATACCTTGATACTCGGACCTGAGGTCACTGAGGGTCTGGCGTGATTTAGTCCAGCTTTTATGCATTGCCTCTTTACACTGAATTTTGAGCTGGCCTTCACTCAGCTGTACAGACGACTTAAATCAACTAAATCAACACATTTTGAACAAATTAGTTGTGTGTGTGTGTGTCATGTTTACCTAACATTTTTAGTACTTTTACCAAAGTCTTAACTTTTAGAGCTTAAATTTACAGTACAAAAACTTTCATAATTCTAATTTTCATTACAGTTTTTCATATTTGCTAAGACACTAAACCCTATTCTCTGAACCAAATTCTCAATAGCCTAAACCAATTAGTCAAATAAAGCACTCTTTCTGCAAAACCTTAAACAAGTTCAGACAGTTTAGACACTGTTTGCTGATCTAATGCACTCAATGCGTGCATGCGTGTGTGCGAGTGTGTGTGTGTGTGTGTGTGTGTGTGTGTGTGCGAGAGAGAGAGAGAGAGAGAGAGAGAGAGAGAGAGAGAGAGAGAGAGAGAGAGAGAGAGAGAGAGAGAGAGAGAGAGAGAGAGAGAGAGAGAGAGAGAGAGAGAGAGAGAGAGAGAGAGAGAGAGAGAGAGAGAGAGAGAGAGAGAGAGAGAGAGAGAGAGAGAGAGAGAGAGAGAGAGAGAGAGAGAGAGAGAGAGAGAGAGAGAGAGAGAGAGAGAGAGAGAGAGAGAGAGAGAGAGAGAGAGAGAGAGAGAGAGAGAGAGAGAGAGAGAGAGAGAGAGAGAGAGAGAGAGAGAGAGAGAGAGAGAGAGAGAGAGAGAGAGAGAGAGAGAGAGAGAGAGAGAGAGAGAGAGAGAGAGAGAGAGAGAGAGAGAGAGAGAGAGAGAGAGAGAGAGAGAGAGAGAGAGAGAGAGAGAGAGAGAGAGAGAGAGAGAGAGAGAGAGAGAGAGAGAGAGAGAGAGAGAGAGAGAGAGAGAGAGAGAGAGAGAGAGAGAGAGAGAGAGAGAGAGAGAGAGAGAGAGAGAGAGAGAGAGAGAGAGAGAGAGAGAGAGAGAGAGAGAGAGAGAGAGAGAGAGAGAGAGAGAGAGAGAGAGAGAGAGAGAGAGAGAGAGAGAGAGAGAGAGAGAGAGAGAGAGAGAGAGAGAGAGAGAGAGAGAGAGAGAGAGAGAGAGAGAGAGAGAGAGAGAGAGAGAGAGAGAGAGAGAGAGAGAGAGAGAGAGAGAGAGAGAGAGAGAGAGAGAGAGAGAGAGAGAGAGAGAGAGAGAGAGAGAGAGAGAGAGAGAGAGAGAGAGAGAGAGAGAGAGAGAGAGAGAGAGAGAGAGAGAGAGAGAGAGAGAGAGAGAGAGAGAGAGAGAGAGAGAGAGAGAGAGAGAGAGAGAGAGAGAGAGAGAGAGAGAGAGAGAGAGTGTGTGTGTGTGCGTGTGTGTGTGTGCATTTTATTGCAAAATATTTACTAAATACAATAAACAGTTTTGCTTAGTTTTTTTTGTAACTCCATGCACTGGACACTGCGTTCTCCATGTTTTGCTGTAGTGTGTAATGAATGATCTGTAGTGTGTGTATTATTGATAATGTGTGTGTGATTTAAAGCTTTGATTTTGAGTGCAGGTGAAATGGTTTTGAAGCGATTGTTTGATTTTGCCAGAAGAGTCTGTGAATTTAGTTTGAAGGTTTGGATTTGTGTTTAAGGTTTTGAGAAAATGAGTGATGGTTTCAAGAAATGTGTTTTAGCGATTCAGAAAAACTGTAACTGACATAAATGTTAATTTACCAGCTTTTCCACAAACTGAGGCAAATATTAAAATACAGAAGGTGCAAACAAACCGAAATAATAATTTATAATGGATTATAAGTCTCATATCTTGACATTATTTAAGATCTGTACAGTATCTTACTATCTTACTGATATTGCAATAAGTATAGTAAAAATCAAATGTGCCATATTACACATTCATCTGATCAGATATCTGATCTTACGGCTGTTTAAGAAAAAATATTATTTTTATTTTTATTATTATTGTTGTCATTGTTGTTGTTATTATTTATAAGAGGTCTTTGTCTGCTTTAAGTAAAGTAACAAGTTAACAATGGCAAGATATGAGACTTATAATACATTATTAACGATGGGAAATATAATCCATTGTAAGTTAAGTGGGTGCATTGTGTTCATTGTGTATTATAAATCATCATAATCTTAAAAGCTATAACCACAAATAAGTAAATATTATAATGCATTAAAACTGTTGAGATGATACAACATATTATAAGGTTTTTTAAAATGCATTATGCATTCATTATAATGCCTTAAGAATACTCTTATAATAAATTATAAATACGGGCTTCATAGAAAGTGTTACCAAAAAAGCGAATTCAATGAAAAGTCATCAAATTTAACGTGTCACATTCTAGGGAATGCCAGTTTACAGTTTTTCACTGTAAATTATTAGATGACTTGTTCTTTTTCTTTTTAGTTACTGTTGATCAATTAACATTTTTACCATAGCTGTTACTGTTAAAATTATAATCAGTTTTTACAGTGAAGAATGCGTCTGTGAGTTTCTCAGTCATTCAGATTTACACACAGAATTGCACTTGTGTGTGTGTGTGTGTTTAAGAATGTCTCTAAATGTGTTTATCTGGCATTTCATCTGTAATGTCATTGTGTCATCGTGTGGTCGGCCTCTTTTGAATGCATGTGTGTAAATGTCTGAGGGTGGTTTCTCTGTTTTTGCAGCACATCTTCTAACCTGCAGCAGCAGCTGAACTCATGAACTCAGTACCAGCTCCAGCCAGCAGGAGGCACATGATGATCACACTTCATTACCTGCGATGGGAGGCCCGACGGTCATGGGGACGGACATCATGCCCAGGAGGAAGCCGATGGCCTGCGACACGTTCTGGGAGCCCACCAGCTCGAATGCAATGGGAGCCATGATGCAGATGAAGCATCCGTCAAACAGGCCCATGAGCAGACACACCGCGATGAGTCCGCCGAACACATGACACAGAGGAATCATCATCGACATCAGCCCGATCACCAGGAACGAGGACACCTGCACAGAACACACACATCACAGCCACTGAACGCATTGGTGAGTGAGTGAGTGAGTGAGTGAGTGTGTGTGTGTGTGTGTGTGTGTGTGTGTAGCTATAACCACAAATAAGTAAATATTATAATGCATTAAAACTGTTGAGATGATACAACATATTATAAGGTTTTTTAAAATGCATTATGCATTCATTATAATGCCTTAAGAATACTCTTATAATAAATTATAAATACGGGCTTCATAGAAAGTGTTACCAAAAAAGCGAATTCAATGAAAAGTCATCAAATTTAACGTGTCACATTCTAGGGAATGCCAGTTTACAGTTTTTCACTGTAAATTATTAGATGACTTGTTCTTTTTCTTTTTAGTTACTGTTGATCAATTAACATTTTTACCATAGCTGTTACTGTTAAAATTATAATCAGTTTTTACAGTGAAGAATGCGTCTGTGAGTTTCTCAGTCATTCAGATTTACACACAGAATTGCACTTGTGTGTGTGTGTGTGTTTAAGAATGTCTCTAAATGTGTTTATCTGGCATTTCATCTGTAATGTCATTGTGTCATCGTGTGGTCGGCCTCTTTTGAATGCATGTGTGTAAATGTCTGAGGGTGGTTTCTCTGTTTTTGCAGCACATCTTCTAACCTGCAGCAGCAGCTGAACTCATGAACTCAGTACCAGCTCCAGCCAGCAGGAGGCACATGATGATCACACTTCATTACCTGCGATGGGAGGCCCGACGGTCATGGGGACGGACATCATGCCCAGGAGGAAGCCGATGGCCTGCGACACGTTCTGGGAGCCCACCAGCTCGAATGCAATGGGAGCCATGATGCAGATGAAGCATCCGTCAAACAGGCCCATGAGCAGACACACCGCGATGAGTCCGCCGAACACATGACACAGAGGAATCATCATCGACATCAGCCCGATCACCAGGAACGAGGACACCTGCACAGAACACACACATCACAGCCACTGAACGCATTGGTGAGTGAGTGAGTGAGTGAGTGAGTGTGTGTGTGTGTGTGTGT